TGTGTTCTCGCTGATCCATCCCGTTATGCAGAACGAGACGGCTGCATCGAAGGAATCGTCGATGAAGGAGGTGATCGAGGAATCCGTGTTCGAGAACATGACCAACCGGAAAAATATTGTGTATTACGACCGAAGCGCTGGGAATAAACTTCCGATCGTGCAAATTCAGCAGCTTGCTGATAAGAACGGGGGTAGCCTACCAGTTCACACTTGCAAGAATCCGTACTATAACAAGGGTTGAAGCAGATCGATGAGATTGCGTTTAAGGAGCCCACCTTTTCAACTTATCTCGCGCTTTAAACGAAAATGTATAAAAATTAGAGTGAAGGAAAATAAAAGTTAATGAAAAAAAAAATCATTGTATCGTTTTTTTTTTTTAGATTTTACTATGTGATAGTGGTGATGAGAGAACGAAGGAGAGAGAAACTGTATACTTAGACAAAATTTCGACTTTTCTGTACTTAAAAAAATTCGACCTTTTCTGTACTTAGAAAATTTTTCGACTTTTCTGGACTTAGAAAAATTTTCGACTTTTCAGGACTTAGAAAAAAATTTCGACTTTTCTGGACTTAGACAAAATTTCGACTTTTCTGGACTTAGAAAAAATTTCGACTTTTCTGGACTTCTGGACTTCTGGACTACCTGTACGTCATGGGGATCGGATCGACGTGCCACTTTACAAACGGTAAGACGCCGGTACACATTACGTCATCCATTCCCCGTGCGATTGCTATAAAAGTTTATAATTTTTTTAATCTCCTCATTTCGTGAAAAAAAAGAATTGAGAGGAAGATGTCTGTATATTTCGATAGCAGTCTACCTCAGAACAAGGATGAATTACTGCCGTGCGAGTTGCTGCCCTGCAGTCGAATCGACAAAGATTTTTTGTTTTCCAAGCCGATGACCGTCCTGTGCGTCGAAGCCAAGTCGGACGAGATACCCACCGGCTCCCTCATGGACTGCGAGTCGTACACGTACGTGAAGCTGCAGGTGCTTTTCCGGTTAGCTTTGCAGCTTCACTACAAGGACGAACCGTACGCTTGCGTGTGCTCCTTGCTCGAGCCGAGCGTGATCGTCCACGAAGACGCAAGAGGAGTTGTAGATTGCGGTCGCGTTTTCTGGCTCGTCCTTCTCACCCGCCTCAAGAGGTGGTTGGAGCTCACGGTCCGAGACATTCTCGTCGTGAACTACGGTTACGCCGATTGGGAGACGACGTTACCGCCGAACATGAGGTACGAGATGCTGATGGATTCCCCCATTGAAGACGGCGACGACGGCGGCGACGCCGAAGAAGACGATGAGAGCGAAGAAGACGATGAAGGCGACGACAGCGACGGCGGCGACGACGAAGAGCGCGAAGAAGACGACGACGACGAGTGCGACAGCGAAGACGAGAGCGACGACGGTGAAGACGACGCCCCGCAGCGAGAAGAAGGAATACGAAGAGGAAGAGACGAGAGGACGGAACGGGTTCGTTTAAATACGCTTTCAGAACGTTCTTACCGAAACTTGGCATGGGAATAGCCAGCAAGTTAAAAAGGAGGAAAACCCTTTGCAGTCCGGTGAGGAAAACGCTTTGCAGTCCGGTGCCGTCTTTGAAGAGACTGGAAAACTTCGATCGCAGCATAGAAATGTACTTTCGCTACGAACTTCCCGGGATGCCCAAATGCAGGCTTCATCCCACAGTCCGGGAGAAGGACGACGAACGAGCGTGGGACGTTCGCGTCGACCTGTTGTCGCCGATGACCTTGTTCGGATCAAGTAGGAGAAAAGATTACAGGGAAGAGTTCACCCGAGAGCTGTGCGACGACGACGACGAAGACGTGGTCGGAGGCGAAGGCATCATGGATCTCGACGAGCTGATGGAAGTCGATCGAGGGGCCCTATCGCCGGAAATGGCAAAGTCCTTGGAGCTGATCGATCCGAGGGCCATAATCAGGGATCCGGAAGGCCGCCGCATATCCTTCCGACACATGCTGGCCTGAAATATGGAGTCGTACATGTTCGAGCCCGATTACTTTCTGCGCAGATCCTTTCCGTCCTGCGAGGCGACGGAAATAAGCCAACTGTACATGAACAAACTAAACAAAGTAAAACACGGCGGTTCCTCTAAAGAATCGGAGAAAAATCCGTTCATGGAATTGCTAGATGGATTTAAAATAAGACAGGGAGAACGCTGGACATTTACAAGTTTTACGATGAAATGCAAGGGAATAACAACTCGCAGATTGTCGACGCGGATTAACGAACCTACCGCGATGATGGCGAGGCAAGATGACCGCACAATCGAAGTTCAGTATTAAGATTGATACAAATAGTATGTAGATTTGAAGAGATTTGAACAAATAAAGAATGAAAAAAAATATGAAAAAAGCCTAAGTGTCAGTTAATTTTTGTCTCTCTTGACAACATATTGCGGAGTTTTTCGCAAGCTTACAAAAACGGTAAGTTAGACATTTCTGGATTTTGTTGAAGAACGTAGGACGCCATGTAGAACGGTCACGAGTGAGTGATTCCGTTCTCGCGTCGTCGTTCTAATCGAAAGCTCCCTGTTGAGATAGGAGACTATAAAAGCCCCACATTTTGAAATCTCCTCACTTCACGAAAAAAAGTTTGCAAGAAAACATGATCGGAAAATTTGATACCAACCTTCGCTCAAATCGAGAAGACCTTCTGCAGTGCGAGCTGCTACCGGGCAGTAGGATCACAGAAGATTTCCTGTTCGCAGAGCCGATGACCGTGATGTGCGTCGAAGCAACTTCGAACGAGATACCCAACGACTCTCTCATGAACTGCGAGTCTTACACGTACGTGTTGCTGCAGGTCATGTTTCGATTGGCTTCGCAGCTGCACTACAAGAACAAGCCGTACCGGTGCGTGTGCTCCTTGCTTGAACCGAGCGTGATAGTTCACGAGAACGCCAGAGGCGATGTGGATTTTGGACGCGTTTTCTGGCTCGTGTACCCCACCGAACTGAAATATTGGTTCAGGCTTGCGGTTGTGGACATTATCATGGTAAGCCAAGGATACCTCCTTTGGAGAGACACGCTGAAGACGGACGTCAGCTACGACAAAATTTTGAGTTCGGAGCCCGAATACGAGGACGGGGATGAAGAGGCGACTGGAGGGAGAGCGAAAAAGAGAAAGAGACGAATCGATGAAACCAGTTCTTTGAGATACGCTTTCAAGAATTTTGATCCTATGTTCGGCGAGGGGACGTCCGACATGAAACAAAGTAAGGTTCATAGCCCGGTACCGTCTCTGCAGAGACTGGAAACTTCGATCGCAGCATAGAGATGTACTTTCGCTATAGGGTTCCTGGTATGCCTAGAGGTCGCCTTCGTCCGACCGTCCGTGAGCGGGACGAGCCCGAAGCTTGGAGAGTACGCGCCGAACTGCTGTCGCCGAAGACTTTGTTCGCATCGAAGAGGAGAAGAGATTACAGAAAAGAACTCACGCGTGAACTAATGGAAGACGAAGACGTCGCCATTGACCTGGTCTCCAGCAAACACGTCGTTGAACTCGACGAGCTGTTGGAAATCGATCGAGAGACCTTGACGCCGGAGACGGCCAAGTCTTTGGAGCAAATAGATCCGAGGGCCATAACGAAAGATTTGGAAGGTCGACGCATATCTTTTCGGCACATGGTGGCGTGGGAGCT